CCTCCTATTCTACAAGAGGGAAGGCCAAACCTTGTCCAGTGCCCTGTTGTGGACTTGATTAGCACAACTCTGTCTTTTTACACAGAGAATCAAGAGCATCCTCTTCCAACAACTGATGAGGTATTAATGTGCCAGGAGGAGACAACTGAAGAGGAGGTGGAGATTTTCCTCCGCCGATGTCTAGGATCCCAAGGCACTGCAAGCAATCATCAGAAGATATACACGCTGGTCAATCCAGGTTCACTGGCTTATGATGTGAGCGTGGCACTGGTGGAATGCTTTGAGACACTAGAAAGGAGTGCTGGGCCTCATTACCGTCTAGTGATGGTCTGTCCTGTAAACCAGGATAGATATGTTCCTTCCTTCTTCAGCAACTATAAAGTACAAACAGGTCTGAGTATATCTACAGAAAGAATAAAAAACTCTCTTCGCCATCACTTTCGTATCCCGTCTGAGCTTGTTCCCTACTCAGAAGTCTATCCAGGACAACTCTCCGTCTGGATGATTTCATCTGAACGTCCAGCTGTTGGTATGTTTTAGATTTTTGTATATTTAAGTCAACATGAGCCAAATTTACTCTTTTTTAATGCATTTTTTTTTGTTTTTGATTAATAATTTGCTTTGTAATTGCATATTTTCTGGGCTGATGCTATAATTCCCTCTGATTTTTAAATCCCTTTCCTCCAACCATCTATGTTTCCTAAAAAGTTGTCATTGAGTGTATCACATTGTGGAAGTAAAATAGGTTGCGTTTCATGTTGTTAAATACAGTATGGTGAAATTGTTACCAAACATTATGCTGATACTCTTTTCTATTTCTCTATCATTTTTTCCTATTATTGGTGCAGGAAAGTCACTATATGTCAAGCGTCTATTTGAGCAGTTCAAAAAAGAGTTTCCAACAGCCACCTGTCTTACAATCAGACTCATCGAGCCCTGCGTTGACATGGATGGATTTGTCCAAACCCTGTCTGAAAGACTAGCTCCACTGAGAGAGCAGGACCCTGTGCTGTTGCACATTGATATTGCAGCAGTAGGTTTTATGAAAAACATGCTATACTATAACATGCACTATTATATACAGTACTAACTGTGGGTCACTTATAATTTGTTTCACTACATTTCTTTTTATATCAGTTACGTCATGGCTTGGAGGAATTCCTATTCAAATTACTTATTCTAGGATGTCTTAGTGACAGCCAAGGAACTATATTGAGGAGAAATGCAGCTCACTTGATGGCGATTGAAGCACTTCAGCAAGTTCAAAAAAGTCAAACCCAGATTGAGGTGCAAACCTGCTTTTTCCATTTGGGTAACTTTTTGTTCTTTGAACAATTGTTGAGCTACAGGCATTAACCGTTTTTTTTTTTACAGATAACCAATGGGTTTTTGCATGCACTTCCTACAATCTTCTGCAGACCTCCTAAAGATGTCAAAGCTTTAGAGATCAAGAGAAAAAAAGGGGGTTACACATCCTTAAATCCACTGATGGATAATGAAGAGTTTAAAAGTGAGGCCATTCAGAGACCCTACCAATACTTGAGAAGATTCAACAGGAATGTGAACATGGACCGTTTCAAATATCAAGCTCAGTCTGTAGAAGGTGATCCGGTTGACTGTCTCCATCATCTTTTATCAAACTACGGCCTAAAAGACCCATCATGGGCAGAATTAAAGCACTTTACTTGGTTTCTTAACCTGCAGCTTAAAGACTGTGAGAATTCTTTGTTCTGTGATCCAAACTTCCTTGCTGACAATTTAAGTGGCTTCAAGGACTTCATAGTAAAATTCATGATTCACATGGCTCGAGACTTTGCCTCTCCATCCATTGACATCTCTGATGAGAGCCCCACCTTTTTCTCTGAGAATGAGGATGAGGAAGATATCCTAGCTAAACTATTTATTCGAAAACGATGGGAGAATGAACCTCACCCATACATCTTTTTCAATGCTGACCATTGCACCATGTCTTTCTTAGGATTCCATGTGCAGAAATTTGGCACAATTCTTAATGCAGTTGATCCAAGAAGTGGCAAAGTGTTAATGGGAAATGTGATGACACAAGAGCTCTTTTCAGACATTGAGCGACAAAGAATTAAGCTTTCTGAGAACTTTGATGACCTGTCAAGGGAAGACAAGATTCAAAAAGTTTCCTTTGTTGTTGGTGCCAAAAAAGGCTGGGAAAAAGGAACATTTGATCCAGACCCTACATATGAACTCACTACTGACAATATCATGAAGATGTTGGCTATTCATATGAGATTCCGATGTGAGATTCCAGTGATCATCATGGGAGAAACTGGCTGTGGGAAGACGCGGCTTATACGCTTTCTCTGTGATCTGCAACGTGAAGGCAGAGATGTTGAAAACATGAAACTAGTCAAAGTTCATGGAGGTACTACTTCTGAGGTAATCTATAGGAAGGTGCGAGAAGCAGAAGAACTTGCTCAGGACAACCGTCAAAAATATGAACTTGACACAGTTTTGTTTTTTGATGAAGCCAACACAACCGAAGCAATATTCGCCATCAAGGAAGTGCTATGTGACAAAGCTGTACAAGGGTACCCTTTGAAGAAAAATTCTGGTCTGAAAATAATTGCTGCCTGCAATCCATACAGAAGACACACACCCAGAATGATTGATCGCTTGGAGCGTGCTGGGCTAGGATACAGAGTGAAAGCTGAAGAAACAGAGGACCGCCTTGGTAAAGTTCCCATGAGACAGCTTGTGTACCGTGTACACCCTTTACCCCCGAGCATGGTGCCCCTGGTATGGGATTTTGGACAATTAAGTGATTCATCTGAGCTCTCTTATATCTGTCAAATTGTGCAGAAACAAATGAGAGATCATGGATTGCCCCGTGCATACCAGAGAGTGATCACAAAAGTTTTGTCTGCCTCTCAAAGATACATGCGCAGACAAGCAGATGAATGCAGCTTTGTAAGTCTTAGGGATGTGGAGAGATCAATGTGTGTCCTAGTTTGGTTTTACAACCACAGAGTTGATCTTTTTCCTGGTTGCCACAGGAATGAAACTGAGCTGATGACTTTGAAGTGCTTGGTGCTTGCTATGGGTGTTTGCTATTACCCATCACTTGAAAACAAAGGGACATACCTAGCAACTATGAGCAAATGCTTTCCTTGTCCATTCAACTCCAAAGAGTCACTGGAGCAGGAGATAACTTCATGCCAAGACTTTTTTCTTGAGAAAATCCAAACAAGAGATACAATTGCCAAAAATCTGGCTTTGAAAGAAAATGTCTTCCTCATGGTGGTCTGCATTGAGTTGAGAATTCCACTCTTTCTGGTTGGCAAGCCAGGGAGCTCAAAATCTCTTGCTAAGACTGTTGTAGCAGATACAATGCAGCGTCAGGCTTCTCACTGTGACTTATTCAAGAAACTCAAGGAAGTTCATATGGTGTCTTTTCAATGCAGCCCTCACTCAAGCCCTGAAGGAATCATTGGAACCTTTCGGAACTGTGCCCGTTTCCAAAAGGACAAAAATTTTGATGAGTATGTGTCAGTAGTTGTTCTAGATGAAATAGGACTTGCAGAGGACTCTCCTCAGATGCCACTGAAGACATTGCATCCTCTTCTAGAGGATGGATGCATAGACAGCGATAACCCAGATCCACATATGAAGGTTGGATTTGTTGGAATCTCAAACTGGGCTCTCGATCCAGCAAAAATGAACAGGGGTATTTTTGTGTCTCGTTGGGACCCAAGTGAGAAAGACTTAGTAGAGACGGCAGAGGGAATCTGCTCATCCTCCCATAATAACATTCTTCTCAAAATCAAGCACCTCCTGCCAAAGTTGGCAAAGGGCTACCTAGATATCTGTAAAACTGACGGTGAACAGTTCTTTGGACTCCGAGATTATTATAGCTTGGTGAAAATGATTTTTGCAACAGTCAACAGTTCAGATCAAGAACCATCTGACAGTGAGTTGGCAGAGGCTGTGTTGAGAAACTTCAGTGGACAAAGGGATGATTTTGATCCTCTTGATTACTTTCGGGACATCTTCCAGGACACTGAAGTCCAAAGGCCAAGTACACTGAAAATGATTGAGCAAAATCTTGACCGCAACAGTGACAAAGAGTGCCGGTACCTTCTTTTGCTCACAACTAACAATGTTGCCTTGTACATTATCCAACACCACATTTTCTCCAAGGAGAACTATATATGCCCTGAAATTGTCTTTGGATCAGGATTTCCCAAAGACCAGGAGTATGCCCAGATATGTCACAATGTGAGTAGAATAAAGGCATGCATGGAGACAGGCCGAACAGTCATCCTATTGAATCTCCTCAATTTGTATGAGAGCCTGTATGATGCCTTGAATCAATACTATGTCTGCTTCAGTGGACAGAATTATGTTGACTTGGGACTTGGTTCTCATAGAGTAAAGTGTCGAGTTCACAAAGACTTCAGACTGGTTGTGGTGGAGGACCAGGAAAAAGTCTACAAAAAGTTTCCTGTTCCACTTAAAAACAGACTGGAGAAGCACAAAGTTGATAGGAGTACGGATTTGACTCCCTGGCAGCACAGAGTTTTGGAAAAACTCAAACAGTGGGTAGAAGACTTCTCAAAAGTTCATCAATCCACTGAAGCAAAATTCAGCTTATCAGATGCCTTTGTTGGGTTCCATGGGGATGCTTGTGCCAGTGCACTTCTGCAGGCTTTAGAGAAAATACAAAAATGGGGCCATGATAAAGCTGCTCAAAACAATGAGCTCCATTGCATTCCCAAGTGCGATAATGAAATCAGTGAACCAAGTAAAGAAGGCTCTAATATTAATGTGGCCAAGGATGTATACATGAAGAAAGAGGAAAGTGAGGCTCATCACATTGATGAAGATGAAGATGTGACAGAGTCTCAAGAGGAAATGAACAAATTCCTTGATGAGGAGGAGGTGCAAATGGAAGGAGAAGGTGCCTCAATGGAAGTTGACAACAAGGTACAGGATGCAGAAGTTTATGAAGACATTGAGACTCTTGGAGATGCTTCTGAACTTGTGAAAATCTATGATGAAGATGCTGTTGACACTGAGGCAAGAGACAGCTTGGACTCAAACAAAACCATGGATGAGGAAGAGCAAGTCTATGAAATGGCCAAAAGCCTTCTCTTGAATTGTGCCTCACCAGACTCAGTACTTAGATTAAAGTATTCAGAATTTGGAAATCAGGAGAAAGACACACTTCAGAGAATGTATTTTCATCAGCAAAGCCATCAATCTCTCAGAGACCTATTAGACAACCATCTGAACAAAAATGAACAGGACAAGAACAGATTCTTGGAGGTAATGTTTACTTTTGTAGAAGTTTACCAATGCATATTCTTGTTAAAGATTTTAAGCAATGTGTACTTGATTTAATGTCTTATCTCTACCAATTTACCTTGCAAAATCAATGAATATGTTTTCTGTAACCAGGTAACCACATTCTCCAATCTTCTCACTGAAGCTGATGTGAGAAATCTTGCCCCAGCCTTGGGCTTGACCACTGAGCAGTTTCTTCTGCTCTCTTTACACCAATTTGACACAGAAGCTTCTTTTTGCAGCAAGATACGGTAATGTTTATATTATTTTTGTTGACTTTATTCAGTACCTTTATTAACAACAAATGGTCAACAATTTCTAAAACATTGTACCTCTTTTTCCAAAGGTCCTTCCTGAGGGAATCTGGACTTTCTCTGCACATTCTTGTGGTTCAGATGGACATGGAAGAGTCTTTGTGCAAAAATGAACTTATTGCTTCAGCAAAGTAGGTCCTTTGATGCAGTTTAAATCAGATTTCAATTTATTAACAACCCAAATAACAGGAGTCAGAATCTAATGACATTTTATCTGTCACTCTTCTTACGTTAGATACTGTACCATGAATGAAATCTTGTCCTTAAAGTCAGATGAGTGCAACTTCTATACTGTGTTTATCACAAAGCTCTCCCGAATTGGGGAGCATTGTAGAACAAGAAGCAACAAGTACATTGGCTTTCAAGGAGGTTAGTGTATTAATTTTGGCAAGACAAACTTTTGCAGTGTATTTAGATATGGTCAAATATCCATTCTTATCAAGTGTATTTTTACTAAAGGAGTTTGGCTGTCTGCACATATTGATGACCTCAGCGATTCCAGTGACATGACCTTAAATCTTAAGGCTTTTTGTGGAATACCTATAAGTAAACTCATCTCCCAGAAAATCGTGTCAGGTATGTAAGGTACCAGTGACCAAAAGCTGCCAGCAACTTGGACTATTAAACAATCCTCAAATCAATGCAGCTTGTTGTGAGGTGAAGTGTTAGTCATCCATCTTAAAGGGGTGGTTGACTGGGTTTTTTCTAGGCTTGATTGTGTTTATGGGGTGCAGTCTAACATGTGTTAATGTTTCGTTTGTTGAAAATCACATAATTTTTCACATAATTTACCTTTATTCCACACCGCTCTGTCCCTTCTCCTCTGAACGCGCTGATCATTTCCTGCTTTTATGAAGCCCCTCCCTCAGAAATACACGATGGGCTCTGATTGATTAGCTGGCCCAGTGTGATTGGCTAAACCGCCTCTAGCGCAAGTCTAAGAGGCGGTCCTACGATTTTTGTTTGTTGTTGTCTCATACTTTTAGATATGCTGTTATTTGTAAATGCTACTGCTTCTGTTAGCTTTTAATATACAGTTTTATTCTGATTAAAGCTTTAATACAGTTCGGCAACCGCACGCGTCCATGTATAACGCTTCTCATAGCTATAGTATGTGAAAATAAGTGTATTCACTGAGCTGATGATCTGAATGAGAGAAAGAGAGAGATGCAGAGCGTGTGCAGAACATTTTGAAACTTGTGAATCCATTAGAATCGTTAGAAGACAGAATCGCAATTCATATATGAATAGATTTTTACGTGCACCCCAAGTTTTCTCTTCCTCTTCTCTAAAGCAG